GCCCCCGCCAGACGCCATGCGCGGGCTCGCCGCGGGCTCGGCCGTGAAGCGGCGCGCGCGCATGGCACCTATGAACGACCGCGCCGCCAGGGAGCCGGCGCGCAGGCCCTCCAGCCGCCCGCCAAAGGCGCTGGGCCCGCCGGCGGCGCCCGCGGGGCCGTCGGGGGCGTCGTCGGGGCGCGGGGGCGGCGGCTTTTTGGGGCGGGGCTGGGAGAGCATTGTCAGGTAGTACTCCTGTTGGGTGGTTGGGCGGTTGGGTGGGTGGTTAGCTGGTCAGTTGGGATGGATGGCTGTTGTTTGGGTGGGTTTGCGTGGTTCGCACTCCAGCTGGCTGATGGGCAACCATGTCCCTCCACCCTATCATAATTCCCGCTACGCACACCGACACACCTCGCATCGCATATGCCCACGCACGACCAACCACACACACACCACACACACACACACACACACACACGCACGCACGCACGCGCGCGCGCGCACGCGCGCCTGCCCTCAGCCCTACACCCTGAGCGACTTGGCGCGCACGCGCACGCTCCATGCATTGAGACCAATCTTCCTCAAGGCAACCACCCTTATTCCCCCCAACATACACACGTATACACGCCCACCCACCCCCACACACCCACACACACACACACACACACACACCTTGTCCAGTGCCTCCTTGACCTTTGCAAAGTGTGCGGTGCGGTGGAACGCGCTCGACAGCAGCTTGGTGGCGGCGGCCTTGAGGAAGTTGGCCAGGCAGAAGAGCATCAGGCACACCACCAGCTTCCACACGGCATCCGTGGCCTGCAGGCGCGCGCGGCCGGAGTTGGCAGGGCAATGTGTTTTTAGTTGTGAGTCGGCCGGCCCAGGCAGGGTTGCATCATTCCAACTCACGGCTGATTACTTGGTTGTGAGGCGTGTGGGCCTGGACGCCCCTCCAGGTGGATCGCCAAACGAGGGGTGGCTGCGTCGACAGGACCCACGTACCATCTGCCGCAACACGCATATGCGCCTCACCTTGCGCCCCCCCCCCTTGCACACGCACAAACGCCCGTGCGTGCGCCACGTGAGGACGCACCCCCCACATGCGCTCGCGCCCACCCGCGCACCCATGCGCGTGCGGCAAACCTGGAGGTACGACTTGGCCTTGCAGCGCGTCTCCCCCTCGCACCATGCCGCCTTGAAGATGATCTGGAGACCGCCGCCAGGATGGTCGGGATGGTGGTGAGGGCCAGGGCGCGTTGATGAACAGAGTCAAAGAAGGACGGCGGGCGTCGGGAGACCATCATGGGCAGGTGGGTGCGGGTGCGGCGTGCACGTTCGCATGGATCGTGCCTCGAGGTACGTGCTGCCCCAGCCGCGGCGGCTCCGCACGACGGGCCCGCCCTGTCGCCACAGCAGGGTGTCTTAAACCCTAGTAGGAGCTGGGCGTCAGGTGCTTTCGGATCCCTAAACCCCAACCGACCAACCGGCCGACCTGGAACCAGGGCAGGACCAGCAGCATGAACACCAGCCGCTGCACAGTGCGGCGGACGGCGTCCAGAAAGTAGATGGCATCCCTGGGGCGGGTTTCGGCCGCACGGCAGGGGAGCGGAGAGTCCGATCGAACACAGATGCTTTGATCTCTCACCGGCAATTCAATCGGTAATACGAGCATGCGGGGGTGAGAGCCGCATGCAGATGGCAGCGGGCGGGGTACGCGGCGCTGTACGTCAAGGGTTCGACCATTCCTCTGGAAATCATCGCAGCACCCGGTGGTGATGGTGAGCAACCGCCAGCATCCTGGGGGCCGCTTGTCGGGCTGCTCATGGGCGGGCGCTGCTGGCTGAGGCTACGCATGCGAGCACGCGCGTTGCCGCCGCCGCAGTGCCACCCCGCGGCTCACATGAAGAAGCATTTCTCGATCCAGACGAACAGCCGGTTGTTTGCAAACCTGGCCGGGTGGGATTGCGGTGTTGCGTGGTGCGGAGTGCAAGGCGCCAGGACGTCGCGCGTGCGCAACTCTTTTTATCAAGCAGTGCTGCGGCGCTGATGGGGTTTCAGTCTCCCAGGATGCGGCTCAGCGCTTCAGCCCCCAACCAGAGCCGCCTTGCACGCAGCCGTTTGTTGATCAAAAGGCAACGCCCGAGGTGGGCCCACGTCACCCCCCACCAAAGTTTGGTGCATCAAATGGGCGACCAGAGCCGCTGGCTCACCTGACGCCCACCCACAGGGGTGGCCACACTGCGAAGAAGTACATCCAGCGGAACAGCTCCACCCTGCCGCTGCCGAGTGCGCTCGCCATGCGCGGGACGCCCCAGTGGGTGCAGACCCCGACGACCAGCATGGCGGCGGCCGCCAGGAAGGCGGCCGCGTGCAGCACCACCGAGCGGCGCCTGAGCACGGCGGTGACACGCGAGGGGGCAGCGTCGGCTCGGGGGCGCCGAGCTGGGCGCTGCGTTGAGCTTTTTAGTGTCAGCAAGAGGCAGCCTGCACCTGCTGCGCCGGCCAGGGTGCTGGGCTTGACCAAGATACAAACATGAGCATGATGGGGTGATGTTCGGCCAGGTGAACTTGGCCAAGATAATGAGCGAGAGCTTTTGCATCAGGCGCATCTAGGCTGTCAGCATGCTGATACAGTATCCTCCGCCCGAGTGAGCAAAGTCTGTCCCCCCTTTGCTACCTGTACCACGGCCGCCGCGCCTCCTCCTCGGCCAAAAGATCCTCTTCCTCCTCCTGCAAACGAGACCAAACGCACGCGGGCGCCAGCACACACTGAGCAGGGGTGGATGCTTGGGGGGCCTCACAACCCTCGGGCGCGGCTTCAAGGACGAGGAGAGCTGCCCAGTCGGCCGCAGCGTCGCGCACTGCATGCGTGGACAGAAGCAGCAGCCGCGCCCATCAACAAGCCGGGCGCTACTGCGCGCCCGGCAGCCGCCGCCCGCTCGCCTCGTCATCCGCGAAGAGTGACAGCTGCTGGTATTCTGATGACAGCGCGCCGCCGTTCTGCCCACCATCACCAGACCCAGGGGCCTCGCCGCCGCCTGCGCCTCCGTTGACTGGCTCTTCTGCGGGTGGTTTCGCATGTGCTGGCCCCGGCGCTGCAGCAGCAGAACCAGCGGCGCAGGGTGCACCTGCTGCAGCTGGGTCGCAAGGGGTTTTCAGCGGCGGACGCTGCGCCGCTGCTGCTGCAGCCTCTGACGCTGCTGCTGCCGCCGCGGCAGACGCCAGGGTGGCCTGCACTCGGGGGCTCATGGCATCTGCAGTGGCAGCGCCTGCTGTTGGTGCCCATGGCAGCGGCGGGCGCGCTCGCGGCGCCTGCAGCGGCGGCGGCGACCGGTCTCGTCTTGGTGAGGGCCGCAGCAGCTCAGCCGCCGCGCGTTGTGTGTCGTCAGCTGCATCCCCTGCGCCCGCGGCGCCCTGGCTGCTGCAGACGATTTGGCTGCAGGTTTGCCCACGCCGGTCGTGGCCACTTTCGCGGTCGCTCTCGCTATCGCCGTCGCTGTCGCCGATACCACGGTCGCCATCTTCGACCACGGGGCTGTGGCGGATGCGCCCCACCTCACGGAGCGGCTGCTGCTGACGCAAGCGCGCGCCGTCGCGCTTGGTGTTGACCGCGGGCTCGGCGATCATGGGAGTGTCTCCGCTGACGAGGCCCCCGGCAAGATGAGCATCCTCCCCACCGTCACTCATGGCTGAAATTGCTGCTCACACGCCCAGCCACATATATGGCTGATGTGGCATCGAGGCAGGATGATCTGCTAAGTTGAATCAAGCTTCGTATACAACCAAGTGAAGGATGTATGTGCTTTTGTTCATGATGGCGTTGAGTCGAAGACCAATTACGTTATAATATCGCACCTAGCAGCTTGCGATCACTACGTGCACCCGCGCGCCAAACACCGCAGCAGCATTATGAGCCAGCAAGCGGCCACCCAAGTGCGGGCGCAACAAGTCGTCAACCACTTAAACGCACTGGCTAGCGCTCAAACGCCGCTTCTCATGGTGCGCGCCGCCGACGTTGTGCGCGTTCCTGCGCATACTGCATGGCACTCGTGAGCGTCCGCCCAGCTCCCCTTGAATCCCTGGCCGGGCACTCACAGGCAATCCAGGAGGTTCAAGAGGTGGCTGTCAGTGATGCCGCTTTCATTTATGGCGGCGTTGGCGACTCAGCAAAGGTGCCCAGGCTGCGAGCATTTGCGCTCCCGCCCGCCTCCCGCCGCCTTGCAGCCCCCGCGTACCGATACCACCCCGAACGCTTGTTTGTCGGCCCTGGGCTTGCTTTCTAGCTTTTGCTTCTAGCTTTCTAGCTTTCGCCCGCCTCATACGTACCTTGAGCAGGTCTCGGCCCTGCGATCTGAGCTGGCGTCGCTGCTGACCACCAAGCACGAGGTGGAGGCGTACAGATCAGCGCTCGTGACACTGGCGGGCAGCTATGCACCGCAGCTGGGGGCCAGCACCGACTTTGCAGCGGAGCTGGAGGCTATTATGCAGCGCGTGGGCGGCAGGTGGGCGGCCTATGCTCCACTCCAACGCCGGCTTTTTATCGAGAAGCAAGCCGGGTCGTTGTCCTCAGCATTTGCACTGGAACAGATTGTGGCGCGTGCAGGCAGCGCGTGGATTGATCAGTGCGTGCGTTGCTAAACCGCGGGCCCGCTCCCTGCACAGACTCAGGCTCTACAACCCTGCATGGCAGGCCCCGTGCTGAAAAAGTTTCGTTGGTCAGAAAAGCTTCCAGCGTCATCCTCACACTCACGCGACAGTATATGATCACAATGCAACACGCCATCAGAGCCTAGTGCGTTCACCAGCAAGCACAAACCCAATCCGCCCAGGTTTGACCCCAAGCGGAGCCAGGCCATGCGCGACTTCGACGAGGCCGCCGGGACCGAGGCCAACGGCGGCGGCGGCGGCGGCGATGACGAGGACGATGACGAGGACGTCGTCGATGTGGGCGGCGGCGCCCTCAACGCGACCTGCCCCATCTCCGGACGGAACGTGAGCGGCGAGGCGCCCGGTCCTGCGCGGCCGGGCTGCGAGCGGCTGCGGCGCCCGGCAGCGGGGGGCCGGGCGCGCGCTGCGGCGGTTGGGGCGGGGGCGGGGCGGGCGTGGGCGCTGACCGACTTGGAGTTGGTGGCAGCCTCAACCCCGTTGCTTCAACCCCTTCCGCTACACCCCCATAAACCCCAGATCTATGATCTGGAGGACCCTGTAGAGGACCAGGTTGGGTACGTCTACGAGAGGTCCGCCATTGAGCAGCACATCCGCATCCACGCACACGGCTGCTGTGACGCACCCTTCCCCGGTGAGAGGGGTGACCAGGGGCAAGAAGGGCGGCCCGGGGTTGGGGGCGGGGCGGCAGTACGGCCGCGCATTACGTCATTCCAAGCATGGGGTGGGGGCAGCCAGACTGCTGTAGAGGAAGCGGATGAGCCGGTCCAGCTGCTCTCACCCGCCGTGTTGACGCCCGCCATACCCAGCAGCCACTCACGCGCTCGAATCGCGCGATCACAACCTCTTCAGGCGTCAGCCACCGCATCACCATCGCCGGGCTGAAGAAGAGCACCAAGGTGCTGAACCAGCAGCGGCGGCGGCGGCTGGGACTCGGGGCGCAGCAGCGGCGGGGCGGGCAGGGCGGGCGTGGCAAGGGGGGCGGTGAGGCTGAAGAGGTCATAGACGTGTAGCACTGTCTACAGTACTTGTCACACATGTACATACCAAGGTGTATACACTTTCACTCTGAAACTCATTGGTTGTGACCAACCTGGGGCCTCTGTGTGGCAGTGGCTATGGCCGTCGTCCCGCAGCTGGTGAGCAGGCAGGGGATAGGTTTGCATGCTCAGGGCACAGCTGCGGGCGTGCAGCGCGCATCTATGGCTGTGCTTGCCGAAGTGATGCCCCTGAGGGAATCTGTGTGAGAGATGCTTCGACTCCAGGCAGCCTGGGATGTGCTCCATCGGGTGGGTAACAGCGAAGGCAGGCTGTCCGGACCGCGGAGCTGGACAACCAAGCGCGGGCCGTGCAGAGCAGCCGCTCAGCTCGGCCTGCACAGCACCCCTTGCACACCTCAGCGTTCTCAACCAAGCATATGACCTTGACGAACAATTGTCGTCCTAGCTTCACTGGAAGCTGCATACGAATTCCGGCAGGCAGGGGGGTGCTGAGGTGGTTGTGGCAGAAGGTGCCAGTGCTGAATCTGCCGGCTGCTCAACCTGCAAAAATCACTGCCTGTCCTCTCACACGACGCCCCCATACATTGCAACATCTTATGTGTCCACAAAAGCATATCTCGACAGCCATGGAGAGCTCAACGAGCTCCGGATGTTCCCTGCCCGCAGACTCGCGACCCACGTCCGCCATGCCCACGCCACCGTGAGCGACCAACGGTCGTAATATGAGAGAGAAAGGACTTTTCAGCTCACATTCCTGCAGACAGATCCCGTGCGGTGTCGTGTGCTGGCGCTTGTGGCGCACCTGCCGCGTCCCACCTGCCCTGCGCCCGCGCCTGCCCGCAGCGACGCTCACACGCTTTCTCTGTAGCCGAGGTGCAACAATTTGATACATTTTCTTTTCTCACCAACGCTCCAGGCCCGACTGGCTGCGGCAGCTGCTGCGGTGGCAGCAGGGCTCCCCCCTCAAGGGCGCCTATGGGGACCACACCTTTGTGTTCCGCACCCCGCCCGTCGGCCCCGACAACGAGCAGTACGTCGTAAAGGCTCACTGCAAAGCGGAGCTGCACACGTTTGACTGGGTGGAGCGCATGGTGAGGGGGTGCCAGGGAGCTGGCCAGGCCTGCTGGATGGCACCTCCGCCGTTGCACCAGTCCCAGCTGGCGTCGCTTGTGTGCAGCGCCAGCAGTCGCCAAGCCTCACAGCAAGTCCGCAGACCAAGCTCAGACGTGTGGTCGGGGCTTTGTGGGTGGTGCCGATAACACGAGCGTGTGCGATCAACCTCACGTCACCAACAAGTGCCATCCCTGCCACGCACCCCGACCTTCACACACCTGCAGGTGCGTGCAGAGGTGTCTTTTCACGACGTGTTTCGCGGCTGCCTGCCCCCTGGCATTGTGCCGCTGCGAGGGTGCTACGAGGACGAGGCCTTCATCTACCTGGTCTTCCCTTATGCAGGCCGGTGAGCACGACACGCGGGGATGGCGGGTGCAGTTGGCTGGGGGCCATCGGGTGCTGCGGCCGCCAGGGGCGGCTGGATGACGCAGGGCGAGAGGGCGGCTACAGGGGGGCGTTTTGTTGCTGTGGCGGCCGCACAGGAGCCAATCCAGCTTGGCCCCTGCCGCAGCAACCAGCAGTGGGCTGAGCGCAAGATGCGTGAGCCCTTAGGCCCTTCAAGGGACCCAGATGCCCTCAGCGCACTGATCCACACAAATAATGCTCGCGTCCCTGGAGCACGCCCCACCCTCTGGCCCACACTGCTTCCAGCAGTGCTCCTCCATGCTGCTCCCCCTGCATCAAGCAACACTCATCACCCCATTCCCTGCACTTCCTTCCACCCTCACCGCCACCCCTGCCAACCCGCAGGCCTCTGTTGAACTACGTGCGCAAGCCGGCCGACCCGACGTCCCACAAGCTCAGCGCCCTCCTGGCGCAGGAGGTGGCGTACCAGCTGATCCTGACCTGGGACTGGATGCACACGCAGGTGGGGGTGACGGGTGAAATCTCACGCGCGCCGAGCAGTCAGCAGGTGCACGTGTGGCTGTGAATTGTTGTGTTGCCGCGTTCCCATCTGTGTTGGCTCAGCCCGCCGTCGTGTGTGCGCCCAAGCTGCGCGACCCACAAGCTGGGCTCCCACCCCTTGAGCATCTTTCTGCATCCTTGTTGTTTCCAAAACCAACCAACCAACACCCCAACCAACCTATCACCCAACCTCGGCCCCCCAGGACCTGGTGTACCTGGACGGCAAGCCCGACCAGGTGGTGCTGCAGTTTGACAACCTGGCGCGCAGGGTGCTGCCCAGGCTGGTGGACATGGGCTCGGTGGACGACACCGGCTGCTGCCACGCCTCGACACCCGGCTACGTGCCCCCTGAGGTGAAGCGCACCGCCACAGCGGGCGCTGCGGGGGCCGTATCTGCCTTCTGCACGCTGCCTTGGAGCGGATACAAGGCACGAGCAGGCTTCCGCAGCCCACGGCGCGATTTGGAGTGCAGGGGCAGCTCTCCTTGGACACCAAGGCTGGCCAATGGTGCGCCACATTTGCTACATACGCTCCCTTGTGCTGCAGTCCACCACTGTTGGGAAAGCCACTCAACCCCGCTCCCCTCTCCCTCCATTGGCGCCTGCCAGAAGCACTACCTGGGAGGCAACGCCGCGGCGACACCCAAGTGGGATGCGTACGCAGTGGCGGTCATATTTGGGGAGGTGAGGGGCTCACACGGCCTGGAGGGGCAGCGTCACGCCGACCGCGGCATGCCGCTCAGCGACTCGCTTGTGCAACCACTTTCACCTGTCCTTGGCTCACCTCAAAAATGCAACCGCGTCACGCACCCAAGGGGGCTTCCTGCTGTAGCGTTGCCGCGATCACCCATTATATCCATACCAATCTTGAAAGCTCAGCATGCCGCATGACTCTCTCTGGACCCACCACCAACCGGCAGGTCCTGACCGGCTGCGTGCCGGGCGACCCCACGAGCGGCGCCGCCGACGGGCCCGAGATGACTGAGGAGGAGCTCATCGCGGACTTCCCTTTAATCTTTATGTCCAGGTCAGCCTGGAGGGCGCTGCCTCCCTCCTGCAGCGACCTCAAGGCGCTCATCGCCCAGCTGGCGCTCCCGGACCCCGCCCGGCGACCCACCCTGGAGGAGGCGCGGCGCTCCCCCGCGTTTGCGCAGCTGGAGCGGGAGGCGGGCGAGCGGCAGCGCAAGCTGTGGGTTCTGATGGCGGGGCGGGAAGACATGTTGGAGGCATTCGAGGCGCAGGTGAGGGGCGCGGGGTGGGGTTCAGGGTTGAGGTTTTTGGGTGAGGACCAGCAGCACTAACAAGGGACCTGTGTGCACGCCACCGCCGGATTGCGGGTGGCGCCCTCCTGCGCGCACTGTGTGAGCCCAACCAGTGACCAAGTCGCCTGGGTCTTATTCGGCTAACAGAGGTAGAAGCGACAAAGCAATCCGCACTTTCCAACAGCGCGAGCATGCCCCCCCCCCAAAAAAAAACTGCTCTCGCTCCCAATTGTCTCAGGAGGCCGAGGCCGAGGAGCTGCGCGCTGAGCTGGCGCAGAGGGATGAGGTGGCGGCGGCGCTCAAGCGGCAGGTAGCCAACAAGGAGAGCGTCATGAGGCAGATGCTGGGGCAGAGCCAGCGCCAGCAGCAGGAGATCAAGCAGCTGCGGGACCAGCAGCGGGCGCTGCAGGCCCAGGTGCAGCAGCTGGAGGCGGAGGTGCGGGCCAGGGAGGACGCGGCGCGGCTGGCCGATGCCACATGCGATGAGCTGCGGCACGAGGTGGAGCTCAAGTGCCAGGGCACGCGGCGGGTGCGCGACTGCCTGATCATATCGGTGGACGAGACGCAGGCGGCTTGTCGCGAGGCGGCGGTGCTGCAGGGCCGGGTGGGGCGGCTGCAGGCGTGCCTGGGGACGGTGCACAGCGGGCTGAGGGCGCTGCGGCAGGAGTGCGCTGCCGCCGACAGCCAGGCCAGTGCGACTTGCAGCGACAACGGCAAAGACAGCTGGACCGACGGCTACAGCGCGCCCTCCGGTTCCCAGAGCAGCAGCGCAGCGGCCACCTCTTCCAGCTGCATCAGCGGGGCTGGCAGCTGCGCCATGCTCAAGGCTGCCACTGCGGTGCTCGTTGGCGGGCAGCAGGAATTGGCTCCCGAGTGTAGCAGCAGCAAGGGTGACCGGATGGATGGAGACAGCGAGGGCGGTGACACCGCTTCGGCGTCGTATGCGCTGGATTGCTCGGTGGTGATCGTGCGCGCCGGCTCCCCTGTGGCCGGCGGCACCAAGGCGGCGGCGAGCACGCCGTGGGACTGTGACAGCAGCAGGGGTGGCTCCCGCAGCTGGAACGCTGGCGTGATCGTTGGCGGCGCCTTTGACAGCGGCGTGACCGCCCCCGCTAGCGGCAAAGGGCTGGCGCCTGGCGTGGGCGCGCGCGCGGCCTGGTGGGGCCTGATGCGCGGCAAGGCGCGCCAGGCCAAGGCTGCGCTGCGGCACGGGGTGTTTGCGCCCCTGTGTTTTGTCCCAGGCGAGGTGGACCGCTTCTGAGGGGCGGTGCGTCGCGCGCCAAGAGGCGGTACAAGCCACCCAGGTGATGGCTTGGGCCGCGAGACCCCGTTTTTTCAGTCAAGGCTGCCTGCCTGGGAGCTACTTCAACTTGCATCGCGCTTCAATGCACAACCGGCTCTGACTGCTGCGCAGCCTGGATATTTTTCTTTGCTTTGCGGAGGGCTATGGGCTGCTTGATGCAGTCCTGGTGTTTGGATGGAGCAGGGTTAGTTGAGCTTGCGGGTGCCTGTGGGGTTGACGTCGTGTCAGCTGCCGCAGGCAGCCGCGCTCCCCGCTTTGATGGCGATCGAGACACTTTCAGGGTACACCACGGTCAACATCTCTTTGGTTTGCGGGGGCTGTGGGCTGCTTTCTGTAGTGCCTGGTTTTTGCATGAGGAAGGGTTGGTTGAGCTTGCGGGTGCCTGCGGGGTTGACGTCGTGTCAGCTGCTGCAGGCAGCCGCGCTCCCCGCTTTGACGGCAATACACTTACGGGGTACACCGGTCAACGCATATCCACTGTCAGGTTTGTGAATCTTGGACTCGGAGGGTTGAGCGCCTTTCTTGGCCGCCAGTCCAGGGCTTGGTTCCAGCTGCGGCTGGATTCAGGTCGATGTTGCAGCCTGATTATCACCGCACATCATGTGGGCTGCAATTTCTCAAACTTTCTGCTTGCTGCCCGTGCAGCTACCATTCACAGAACCAAGTGTTGAATGTGTATACATGCATATGTGTACGAGGAGGCCTTGCATCAAAGCACACCTCCCTGAACTGTTCAAAATTGAGATTTGTAAATCCACTCACGCAAGTATTGACCCACTGCAGGAGCCGGGCATCAAATGCGCAGGGCAGACAAAGAGGGCAGCGGGCAAAGCTGCAATGGATCCGGACAGGCTGTAGCAGCAGTTCTCATTCTCAAATCTCCTTGAAATGTGTTTTGCTCGGAAAGGCACAACAAGAACCATAAGCCTTCACTTATGCTACTGTAATGCAAAAGAACCCGCTGCAATTCTCTTGCCGCCCCGCTCTGCCAGCTCACCTTCAGCCCCGCTCCTGCCAGCACACATCCCGCGATGAGCTCGGCCGTCACAGAAGGGCTCATATGGGAGCAGCAAGTGACGTTGGCCGAGTGGCGAGGAGGCGCCGATGCATATGTTGCCTAGCAGGGCTCAAGGCTGCGCTCGTAATGCAGGGTTTGGGGGGGGGGGGGCGAGAATGTTATCACGGCTCGGCCAGGCTAGATGACCGATGCAAGGGCAGTGGGGCCACGGTGAGCCGCTGAACGCCACGCCTGCCCCCCGCCATCGTTGCTGCCCTCCTTGGCGCGCCAGTGCGCCAGCATCGGCTACCGCTGCCGTGTCAAAGAGGCTGCCCAGTCAGCCGACGCACACGTGGCGCCGCCCAGTACTGCCAAATCTTCAAACATGCGCTGCAGAAAGCGCTGGCGCTTGAGCACACCAGACGCGACACACCCTGTACGTCCCTACCTGCAGAATACTTGTTTGTAATCAGATAGGCGTAGGCTGTGTGCCAGTGACGGTACAGCAGCCGCCGGATGCCCCTCATGCTTGCAACACGATTATGGATGCTGGACATACAACGACTGCTGCTGTACTTCGATTGCCACGAGGCCCAACGCGATTAGCCGCGCAGAGCTGCACCCTGCGCCCGCCGCTGCCTCAACGCTTTGACACCACAGAGCGGCGCCTGGCTACGCTGTTGAGCAATACGTGTTGTGCACGCGCGCCCGCACGTCCAGGCGATGTCAGGCACGTTGCTTTCATCCCCTCGCAGCTGCCCCAGAGCGTCCTGCGCCTTCAAGTGTATTTGGATGCAGCTCTTGCTGGACCCATGCTGCGCGGCTGCCCTTGCTCAGCTGCTCGCTTCCAGGTGCGCGCCGCTGCCGCTGGCGTGATCTCAGTGCGGCGCAGCACTTGATTTCGACGAAGCTGGTCGAATTATCATGTAAATAGCATGCAGCCAATAACTTTGAGTCCATGTATTGCGCATCTATATCTCTTTCTTTTTGGGTATGACGCATCACGTACGTCGATGCAGGATCTCGTGCGTTAGATTTAGGTATTGTCCATTGCCAAGGTACCGAGATGACCGATAGGGTCTGCTCATGCTCTGCTGCCAGCCCGAGCTCACAGCCGTCCAGCGGCGCGGTTGCCGCACCTCGACACTGCTGTGTTCGCCAAGACGCGGCGCGCGACGGCGGAGCGCTTCCTCAAGCAAAGCAGCGGACAGGTGCGGAGGAGGGACAATCTTGCCTGACGCCGCCCGGCTCTCGTGATGATCAAATCAATCAACCACGCAGCTGACTTGAGCTTCTGGCGCCGGCGCAGTCAGACAGCCGTTCGTGCCACCGCCGCCCGACCTTTGTCCCTCCCACATCATCCCGGCCGGCCCCACCTGCCACTGTCACCCAGGCCACTGCCAAGACCATGAGGCTTGTGGTCTGATGGCATCATGCTTGCCATGTTGGCAGATTGAAGCTGCTCAGGCCGCCGCGGAGCGCCGATGCCCCCCACGGCGGCCTCAGCCGCCCTGCTGGCCGCGAGGTGGCGGCGCCTGCGCGATTGAAGGCGTCTATATCAGCTCATGAGACCCTCTGTGGTTGCTGCTGAATACCAGGTGGGCAGGAGATCTGGGTCGCATGGGGCCTGCAGCCGCAGAGCCACCTTGCAGTGTGTGTGGCCGCTGTCGGCCCACGGATATGCAGGAGTGTTTGCTCAATACATGTGATATGCATCAAAGTTGGGGTTGGGTAGCCCTGAAGTGGGGATCCAAGCAAACATGCGCGGCACAGACGATCCGGGAGCCCCGCAGTATGTGTGCTCTGCTGTGCCAGGCGCCATGTGCGCCCCTGCTCGTATTCCTCAGCGCCCTTGGCGTATTCGAAAAGTTATAAAAATAACTGTGCGTTTGGTTACGTGTTCCCAGGTCCGACGGTGGTTGCACTGCTGGAGTGGAAGGTGCAGAAAAAGCCGACGGCTGCAAAACATACGACCCCTTGATAACAACCGCACAAATCGGGTGCAACTAATCACAGTGTGTTATGACTCTATACGCATGACTTTGCTTTGAAGGATGGTCGTAACGGAGAGCCCCTGCCAGGGGGCTTCGTCCGCGCCCACAGCTCGGTGAGAAATCAAGAAACATCAGAGTGTTTCATAGTTTCATGTTGACGTCATGCGCAGGGGGACGCGCATGGGGCACCATTCTGCGCCATGCGCCATTGCGCGCGCATCCGCTCCCGCCCTGCCGCTGCGCTGCTCACACGCAACGCCTCTGCGCCGCCCCCCTCCTCTCCAGGCCCGGCTGGACGGTGCAGCAGGGCCCCACCCTGAAGGGCGGCCCTGGGGACCACTTGCGGGTGTACACATCACGAGACAGCCAGACCGGGGCCCGCATGGTGGCCAAGGTTTACTCCAAGAAGGACATCAGGCACCAGCCAGAGCTGCGCAGGATGGTGAGCCAAACACGACGCGCCGGGCGTGAAGCAAAGGGATGACGGGCGGTGCACATGGGCAGTGACACACCTGTCGCACACAGCGTCGCGGAGGCGGCGCGACTTGGGGCGCGCGCTGCTTGGCAGTTTCGCGCGCGCGCCGCGCCGCCAGCCGCGGCTGACGGATCGCGCGATGAAGGGCACGTGACGTGTCACATCCTCGCGGGGCCTCGCCGATGCGCGCGTGCGTGCACGCCCAGCTCGAGCGCTCGCCGCGCCCCCTCCCCACCTGCCTCTTGTCCCCGCACCCCGTCCCGACGCGCCGCCGCAGGTGCGGACAGAGTATGAGTTCCACAAGGCCGATGCCCAGGAGGCGCCCGAGGCGATTGTCCGCATGGCGGCGCACCACCAGGACGAGGTTTTTTTTTGGATGGGATTCCCTGACGCCGGAAGGTGGGGCCCGCGCGGCTCGTAAACTCCACGCTTGGGGCTGCAGGGGGGGGGGGCGGTGTGCTGGTTTGGGGCGTCGAGGGACGCCATGCATGTGGGGGGCTGCGGGCGGGGCCGGCGGCGTGCGAGCGAGCGGCTGGCTTGAGGGATCAGCCCCGAGCGAGGCGCGGTCGCGCCCCGCGGCGTGACCTCTCGCTGCGCGTCCGCATGCTCGACGGGCGCCCCCTTTCCGGGCCCTGCCGCGGCCGCAGGCCCCAGCCAGCGCCGCCGGCTCCGGCGCCGGGACGCAACTCAAGCCCGCCTGCACCCCCGACCCCCACCTCGCTCCCCCCTTCTTCAGGCCCATAATGGAGTTTGTCTCGCAGCCGCGCGACTGGTGGACCCTGTGGCTCAACACGCTGCTGGGGTTTGAGTTCATTGACAGGGTGGTGCCCTCAATGACCTGGCTCCACTCCAAGGTGGGCGACACTGCGCGCGGCACGCGCGCGCGCGCGCTGTCACACGTCAACCCCCGCGCCCCCACTGGCCTTGACCGGGCGCGCATGTGGGCACGCGCGGCGGTTTGGGGGTCAGCGCGGCGGCCGTGCGCATCCAAGCCCTGTGCCTGCGCGCCTCTCAGCTCTTGCCCCGCAGATCGCGCCGCACTGGTTTGGCGCTGCACAAGGCCTTCGGCCTCGTCTGCCGCCCCCTCACTCTGTCGACCCCCCAATCCCCCCCAAATACAACCCCGCCCCGCCAACAGGGCAAGGTCTACCTCGACCTCAAGCCGGAGCAGCTGCTGGTGCAGCCCGACCACGAGGCGCGCCGCCTGGCGGTGCATTGGGTGGACTTTGGGTCCCTCACGCCGCCGGGCCAGTGCCGCGCCTTCACCGACGCCTTCGTGCCCCCCGAGGTGCGGGGGGCTGCGTCTGTTTGTGGGGCTGCCCGTATGCCGCCACGGCGCGCTGGGGTTGCGCGAGTGGGGGTTGCTTTTGGGGGGACGTACTGCCGACGCGTGTTCGGGCATCGACCGCCGTCGGCTGCGTGCAAGCATGCACGCTTGTGCGGAGACGGGCCTGCCCAACCCTCCAGCCCGGGCGGTGCAAGCTGGTATTGGACAAATGGGTTTTTGATCCGCCCTTGCCGTCGTGATTGATGCATGTGTGCCCCTCGCAACCGCGCCCGTCGCCTCCCACCCCAGGCCCTGTCCAGCGGCACCGTCGAGGGGTTCCACGCCGCCGCGACCCCGGCGTGGGACGCCTGGGGCGTCGGGACCGTGCTCATGGCGGTGAGCTGGGGCCGGCCGCTCGCTGGCTGGGGCTGCGTGACGCGACAGCGCGAGCGCGGGAACGTGGTCGGTGCGCGGCGCCGGCCCGGCCCCTCCGGCGCGACGAACGCCATGTCATCCGCGCAAGGCCGGCTGGCCGCCGGCACGCATCACGCTTGGCCGGCGCACATGGTTTTGGAAAAAATAATGACCGAGCAGCTTTGCATTGCAGTCGGCCCCGGCGCCACGACTCATACCCCTCTCATTCTGTGGCTTACCAATTGCCAACCCTACAACCACGCCCCCGCCAGGTCATCACGGGCCTCTCGCCCTACAAGCCCCTCGAGTGGCAGCAGCAGGGCCCCCACGGCGGCGGCGGCGGCGACGGCGGCGGCGGCGGCGGCGGCGGCGGCGGCGGCGGCGGCGGCTGCGCTGTGGGCAGCTTCCGGGCCGCCTGCATGGCGTCCCCGGCGTGGCGCAACCTGGGGGAAGATTCCCGGCAGCTGCGCAAGCTGGCGGAGGACCTGACTCACCCGGACCCGGCCAAGCGGCCCTCTCTGAGCCAGGTGGAGGCCAGGCCCTACATCCAGCGGGTCAGGACGGGGGCGGACTGGCGG